ATGAGGACTTTTACCTCTACACCATGCCAGCGTACGCAGCGTGATGAGCATCAGTTGCCAGTGGTGAAGGGTAGGATGGATTCCTGCAGTCGTAACCCTCCTCCGTCCCCGATCCTCGTTTAAATACACTCTTTATAGAACATTCTCCGCCTCCGAACAATAGTGGCAATAACGATGACATAAAACAGACCTATTGTTGTCGAACTAAAGAGGAACTTTATGACTACAGAGAAATCGAGGACACTTTCAAGCACCGATGTGAAGAGATAATTTCCTCGTCAGTTTTCGTCGCTGCCTCAGGCATTCAGTTATCATGCTTCTCTAATACCTAGCTGTTTCAGGGTCCTACAAAACACAACGGAGCCGGTGAATACTAGCGAAAAGAAGGTAGGCACAATGCACGACAAGTTTGAAGACGCCATCCGCAATGCTGAGAACCAGCTCAAAGTTGCCGAACTTGAAAACAATGAGGTGATTTTACAAAAGCTCTTAAAGTATATTGAATCAAAGCCTTCAAATCATGACAGATTAAGGACACCACTTAGTCTCTTCTTTGATGGGAAGTTATCTCGCTCTACTTGAAGGCAAAAATGACCAAGCACTAATTTAAAGAGGCGTGCGGAATGGTTTATAAGCGCGAGATGTCACGCCGTGTGACGAAGTGGCCTTGGTCAAGGGATTCGTACTGCAGCGAAGCGCATCAGGCGTCTACCTTAAGATGAGCAAGGCTGCATCAATCCTTTGCGACAGCCTCCACCAGCGACCACCAGCTGTCATCAGCGTTTCGAACGTTTGTCAGTGTCAGCAACTAGTAAAGTATACGGCAGAGTTTACCAACGTCTATAAGCATCCACCAGCGAACGTCAGCGTCTGGAGGGACTAAGAAAGTGAGCACAATGATCTAGCGTCCACCAGCGAGCCGGAGTGGGGGGGGGAAGAGGAAGTAGGATGGTAGCAGACCATCGGCAGAGTATAGGGAAAACAGCAGGAGACAGTTGGATTAGGCGTCGTAAAATTGTGGTGTGTGCAACCGCACCGTACCACTGAACAATACCGTACTCCTAGACACTGGTGGTCGCTGGTGCAAGCTGGTAAACGCTAGATTGATATCCATACTTTCCTAGCAGCTCGAGATGCTGATGGTCGCTGGTTCAGAGCATGAACGCAGCCTTCTCACGCTGACGCGCGCGTTTTGAGTTAGTTCCTGTTTCGTACACCAGCGTACACCTCCAAACCAGCAGCTCTGGCCCTAGGGCGAGCGGCTGACACTGAACCCGCAAGCAGTTTCGTACTCGCTTATATCGCTGCGATTAACGCTCAATTTAGTCAACGGCAGTTACTCCTGCTCGCTGCGAATCGTCTGATGCTCTCG